GTAGACATTCCTCCATATTACTGTCTATAAAGAGCTCCATTTCGTAAACAGATTCGCCCATGCAAACACACACACAGACACACGTACATACAAACATACATACATATACACAGTCGCGCAAATAATTAACTAAGCAACTAAATCCCGACTCTTCTCATTTTGAACGATCTTCTAGATAAGTACGTACTTCGATATCCGATCTTTGAAATCTCTTTTCTGGGCGCTCTTTCCCCCCTCTTGCTCACTTTTGTGCACAACCTCCCTTCGAATTTGTGATCTCGATACGCAGTTGTCGTTGTGAATCGATCTTGCGATCGCAGCTTGGACGGGTGTAAAGGCTGCCGATGACTGGATGGAATTATGCCATAGTGATCAAGATTCTCGCAAAAAAAAATTCAACAATAACAAAATAAATAATATATATTTTGTACTATAAAATTGGTAAAAGATATTATAAGTGAGATTATGTTTCTAGAAAAAGAAAGAAATGAAAAAATGTATCGAGCAATATAATAATGATAATAGAGATGAATCATAGAAATAAATAATTTGCTACAATTCACCGTGGCATAGAATCATCCAATCATTTAAATTTAAGTCAAGAATATCAACGTGTTTGTAGAAAATGCATACCGCATGTCAGATATGTGTACGGTTGCGCTTATGCGTTCTGCAATTTATGGTAATATCGAAATATATTCTGACAATGCTTGATATGAAATCTTCTTTTTAGGGATCGATATGTATATGTGGAAAATTGTATATGGTAAGTAATATTTCTTTTCCTATTCATGATTAGTTTATGCGATTGAACACCCAATTTAATCTATGTTGATGAGAACATCATAACAATGTATGGATTGTGGTGTCTCGTGCGATTTCATTACAATTCGTGTGCACGAGAAAAGAGATTCACAATTGACAATAATGTCAGGGGCTGACTATTTGCCGATTTTCGATTCTCTCCAACAATAATTATAATAATCGCGGGAATACTTTCATATAAAAGCGCAAAATAGCATCTTTCATTCTTTGGGATTGTTTCTGTGTCGCATAAATAATAAATAGTCGAATAATCTTACATCGAATAAAAGATACTTGAAAAAGAATCTCGAAGAAAATTCGTCTCGTAAAGAAGAATGCATCGAAATATTGCGCGGATTTTCGAATTTAGAGGATCAAGGCGAGGATGCCGAACGATGGATAAAGCTAATTCTCAACTTTTTCGGGAAAAAATTTAAGTCTTCAAAAGAAGATATTCAAATTTAAAGCTCAAAAATTCAATTTTTAAGGTAAAAGCTAAAAAGCTATTATAATACCGATTTTTTTAACAGTTTCATAAATAAGCGATAACAATCATAATAAAAAAAAACTAACGAATGCGCCACATTCAAAACTTAATTAACAGAGATTGTTTTTTACAATTATATTTGTTTAACTTTATGTTAACTTTTTATTAAATATTTAGCTTTCTTTCAAGCCATATCATCTTTTTATACTGTTTTAGAAAGTACGTTTATTTAACACAGTTAACGCATTTAGCTCCAAATTTAAGTTCTTTATTTGGTTTTTAGAATTCCAATTGTTAATAATTTTTACAGCCATTTCAATGCATCGCGCGAAAATGGCGTCGATAGTTTGCATAGGCGACATTCATGTGTAAAGGATCTCCCCACGCTAATCAACTTGATATGCATACGATATAATCACACACACGTGGGTTATCCAAATATAACGGCTTTAATAAGAAAATTTACAAGCCAGTCATATTTTCGCTAAATAACAAATCAAGTTCGCCATCAGGCTGCGACAATTGCAATATACAAATTGACTATACTCTCTCGATCTTGCACGTACGTGCGTCGCCGAGTCACTCGGTTACTCTCGAATTATATACTTTCAGATAAAATACCACGGATTACTTTAATCTCGGCTGTTGGCTTCTCGAAGAGACATCATATTTTTACCAGATATATACCTAGATATATATTCAATGTGATTCCATTATATAATAAAGTATAATGGTTTTCATATATAAGCCAGAAACGCGTTCGGAGATCGGGGCCCGGTATATAGGCGCGGTTAACGATCTCCCCGAGTAATTGCCCGGCCGCCCTAATGATGATGCGAACAATTTGAGTAGACTCGCGCAATTAAGCGCGAGTCATCGTGCGCCAGCGTTTAATGAGAGGCAGATAAAAGCAGGAGAGTGTCGCGCGTTTATTAACACCTACTCGCTCCGCTGGACCGACGAGTATCGCTTACAACTACTGCGACGATATCGATGTTGGACATGTTTGCGCGTAAATAACGATAATTCACATCTATGTGTAGGCGATATCTTTCTACGTAATATATATATATATATATATATATACGCTTTCTAATGAGTGAAATTGCAGATGTCAGATCGCAGTTGCCCTCCAAGATATCGAAGTCCACGGCATATATGTATATTTGTCTAGCTTCGTCTTTACTTACGTCGCGCGTCGTCAGACGGATGTAACATCAATGACAGAATCAACTAAATACCACAGAAAGCGCGTGTGATATTACGATTAACAGCTATGTAGAACAGTCTACGGTTACTTAACTATCTACTATTCGCGATCGCTTTATAAAATCCCGAAAAACATCGCGACGTACTATATAATATTCGCCACTCTAGAACGATGTATACGTTCACGCGCGACCGCTTAAGTCCATTAAATTAAATAAAACCATATTCAAATAGGAAAGTCTTTTTTAGACTATCATACTTCACATCTTTCCTTATCAGATCATTTGTTCGGAATGTAATAAACTTCCTTCTCCCTTTAACGCTTATCACTGATCGGTGCGAAGCTTTACCCGTTATCCGGCAAATCTGCTTCGCAATTTACGCGAGCGAGTTAGAAAATTGATATGTATTGTGTTTATGCCTCTCCTCATGCTCTCTCACTCTTTCACTTTCATTTTTTTTTTTTTTTGGTGTCTCAATACTACTAATAATTATACTTTCAATGTTTGGTCAGTATTGAAGCAGCTCGAAGCAGCGTTAATTCTGGTTGTTCTAAATGTGTGTATTTGTATATGTAATATAATAAGGTACGTATCCCTTTTTCAATGCCTGTAAGTCTGATACACGCGGTTTGTATTTTTTACAATAAATAAAGATAATATTCACACACAATAAGTTGTTACTAAATATAACATAGTTTTCTCATCGCATTATTTTTAAGTTTTTTTTTTGCATCGGAAAAACTAATAATGATTTGTCGCAGTTTTAAATTATTATAGACGATCTTTGACAATCGGAACGTCATTGATCTTTCTTTATCACTGTTTTGCGCATTTACAGACAAAATTAATTACCAGTTTTTTATCTCACAATCAATTTAATTATAACACTAAAAATCAAATGTTTAATGTTAAACGCGACATTGAATAAAGGTGAGAGTTATATGACTTTTGAATAATTTTGCAGTGATATCCAAATTTTAGGATCTCGAGGTTCAATCTTATCGCAAGATCTTCCCGAGGACGGAATCGGGATCTATGTGAAAAAATCAAAAAGCAAAGGTAGAAATATATTTCCGCGTGATTTGTACGCCCGTCTCGATCTTCTCTGGCGATATCATTACGGTCTGATCTAACATCGAGTGGTGCACACGTTGTTTCACAGCATGATATAGTCTTTGTGAGGTCTATTGGTAATCTTTGGATCGATACAGTGCCATCTTTGGTGATCTCGCGTTTTCGGATCTTGCTTTATTTTTCGATTAGCTTTACGCGGGCTTACGCTGAGCCCCCTTATCGTGAATTAAACTTTAAACTGTTTTCAGCATGCAAAAACCAATTGAGTTGTAATTTGCCGGAGTAAATTTATAGATTAATTATGCACATCGATAGTTCGACAACGAGAGCGTGCCTTTTTGAAAAAAAAAGTTGTACAATCGATTGTGATTCAAGATTGTTTCATCCTTTGAATAATCTAAGCTGCAAGTGTTTCTTGTAATTTTTGAAACATTTGAGACATCTTATATTTATCAAAAAAAATTAATCGCCCATAAAAATAATACATTTATAGATGTAGTACAAATTCAAATCATATATTAATATATTTATTTTTTACTCTTTTCCCTCTTTTTTTTCTATATCTTCACCAATTTATAATAAAACAAATAATTATCCATTTACACCTTATTTGTTAAATATCATTTGTACGACTTCTTTTCGAGTTTTTATTAAAGGATAAACAATACTTTTGTTCCAGAATAAAAAATGCGGTCCAAATGTTTTTGAGGGTCCCGATCACGATCGCATTTAGTGCGTTACGCATGATTCGCTTCAACGATATGTGTATGTTCCATTGTATATGTATATGTATATGTCTATACACATATGTGTGTGTATATATACACGTATATAAAAAGGAAATTAAACGGGCTCGCTAGAATAATTTCTTCTAGAGACGGTACAAAATATCTGATTGACATGTACTTCTCGCCCCCTGTACTTTAACATGACGTCGCGCAATTTTTATATATAATTTTTTTCTTTATTTATATATATATCTATCTGTAGATATATGTATATATATATATATATACTTCTTCATAATTTATATTAACTTCTAATATTCTTACGCAATTACCACTCTATGTTAATGTAATAATAGCATACTGCCTACTGATATGTGTTAGTTCACTTTTGTAAAGCACTTTAAAATTCAATCTAATTCTCGATTCATCGATTCCGATGACAACGAATCCGCCTCTGAACGGCTAATTATAAAATAACGAGCCATTGAATACACCGAATAATACGTTTGCCGCGCCGCATTTTCGCAAGATCGACGATCATCCTTCGCGATCGCGATAATCGAGCGATCACGGCCGCGTTATCCAAACTTATCTCGTGTATACTTTTATCGCTATCTTTCTTTCGCTATTTAGAAACTTTTCCTATTTCTTCTCTTCCGTTCTCGACAGATTTGAAACCCTTAATAAGTCTCTTCTTATCCTTGATATTTTTTTTTTCTTTTTTTTGTATTCTATTAACCCTTTGCACTCAGATGTAACTTATGCTTTTTTTTTTAATTGCAAAATATCCGTAATGAGAGCATCGTGATATTTTTCAAATAAAAAGGCCAACCATGTGTAAATCTGTTCTAATACATATAAAAGTTATTTTATCCCCAATAATACGCGAATTTTTATTTTTATTATTTAATTAACGTGATGATTGAGTAATCATTTCTTTTTATATACTTGCGATACCATCTCGATGTTCTTTCGCGTGAGAAAAAATGTAAATCTCAGTCCGTTTCACTGCTTCTCGAATTATAAATGTAAGGCCTCGATTCAATTACAACTTAGATTAGACTTTCTAAAGTTTTGTAAATCACATTTTACGTCGCAGTGGCTTGTTAGTTGACTATAGTGTTAAATCCAAAATACGCGTAACATTACACACAAAATAACCCTCTTCTATCTGACAATCTACGTTGATATATAAGTAGAAATCACACAAGTAAGAGTACAAAGGGTTAAAGCGGAAATTCAAACATTCATCTGACAATAATGTCATTCTATTTTATCACGTTATTTTCTTCTTCCTCACGCGTGTATATTTCGTGTGTTCACGTCAAGTCCCAGTATCGCAGAGTGATATTTCTAACATGGTGCATTCCAGTCGCTTTCCGTAGAAAAATAAAGAACGTGCTGGCGCGATCGTGACTTGACAATCGATGATGACGATGATAGACGATCAGTGACGACCGATCAGTTCGCCCGAGCGCGCCGGTAAATGATCACTATTATCGACATAGTCCACTGTTAATCGGCGGCTACTTTTAATTTTTAAGTTACTTTCATTCTCATTAATTGCATGTAATAAATGCCCAGTGATACAACGGAGAATAGAAGGATTGACTGTGAAACTCAAGGACTCGTCGGCGGAAAGTCATCTGCGTAAGATTACTGAAAGCTGCTTTTACAATCTTCGTTACGGCTATTTATCAAGAGATATAATCTCATAATAATTAATACAAACATAATCGTAATACTTGTAAGATCGTAAACCTATTAAGATTCTGCATTAAAATTAAATAATAATATGATTAAAATTTTTAAATATACTTATACATGCACTTTATATAAGAGAATACTGCAACTAATCATTATAGAGTTATAATACGAGTCACAATAGCAAATACAACAGACTCCCGAAGAGAAACTTTCAACTATGCCAAAGATAAATTACTATCAGCTACGACGGCCATTACAGATTTTCACGAGTGCGTTCAATCATTTCGGGAAACGCGTTTTGCTCAAAGCTTCGCTAAAGACCCACCTTTGATCCTCGAATCATTACGGGGTCTTGAATGCACCCTCTTTGCAGCCTTCCGCCGTCGAGAAAGTAAGACGGGAAGAGGGCTAGAGAAAGGAGAGTACGGCAAGGTGACAGAATGGTGAATTGAGGGGACATATTTCAGATACGGTTGCATGTACATGTATAGAGAAGCGCCGGGAGTTTCTCTCTTTGGGAGCTTGAAAAATCAAGACAAGACCTATGTACGTAAACGCGCTACCGATTACAGCTTGTGACTCGACCAACAGGAAGGCACTTGGGCAAATTACGTGCCGAGTTGGCCGCCGTTTCCAACACGCGGGGCACACCACCTCCACTATCATCCTCCTTTCTTCCGCTCTCTTTCTCCTCATTTTTTCGCCTTACGGAAAGGCAGATGGTTGTTCAAGTTTTCTTCTCGATCCTTCTGTAATTCTCGTCTACAGACTTAACCCTATGATATGTTCGCGTTCGTTATGTATATATATATAAGAGATTATTAATTATATCATATTCTCTCATTGTTAGCATTCATTCTCTCGATGTAGTTGTTCTTTTTCTCTCTCTTTCTGTTGTCATGCACATTTTTTCGCATTCGCACTTTTATTCGTACTTTCTCACTTGCACTTTTGCTCGGATTTTCTCATCTAATAATTAATGCAAACTAAATCGAATTTTATTTGTCTTTCTTTCTCGCATTCTCTCTCACTCTCTCTCACACACACACTCTCTCACTCCCTTTATTCTCATCCTCGTCTAGAACACTAGACTTTTCTTAACAAGATACAATAGTTAAAAGTACGCGCGTTCGTGCTTCGCGCGACACGCCGATGATAAAACATAAATACACGCTTCTTAGGGCACCTTTGGTATTAAGCTTGATGTACTCGTCTTCGCCTCACTTGTTTCGTTTTAGTGTGTGGAATATGCAATTTTGTGTTGGAGCCGCCAATCCGCATCAATCATTGAGTTAATTTCTTATTCGAGTCTTATGAAATTATTTCCTCGATGATATGCATAATTTAGAAAGCTCGAGCTCGATATGTATTTAATAAATTTTTTAGACTTTTTCTCTTCAAAATAATAAGAGTAATCATTAAATGTAAAGTTTTTAAATCCCGGAATGGCGTCGTCGTGTATCTGAAAAAATTTCTGCGTTCGTCGAATGTATGTGTGTGTATGTATGTAAACAAACATCGCGGTAAGCGTGAGTGTCGAAGAGTGCCTTCTCTCTTTACATATGTATACAAGAAACGAAATCCGCTTCCTCGCTTCGCTTTGCTTCGCTCTTCTGCTTTTTTTCTGTTCCATTCCTCCCTTGCTATAATCCCAGCTACCATCTTTTTCTCTCGCTTCGTCGTCGTCCGATCGCGATTAAAGACACGGTGAAAATAAATAGTAGGAAAAGGTAAATACGCGAATCGATAAGTTAAGTTCGTTAAAAAATATATATACCTAGGAATATTACGTGATTATATATTGGGCCCCCCGCTAGAGTCGCGCGAACCAACACGCCTCCGTTCTGCAATGTTGAAGAATTTACAGAGAATTTGCCTACCAATATATTTGCTGTGTCCCTTCCGACGGAAGATCGATCGAAAATCTTTTGCTCTTCTACCCACGTTCACAATTTCTACGTCTCTCCTCTTTCTCTTTTTTTTTCTCGAGTGTATTCATATGTGTATACGTCTATGTGCTCCCGCGTTTGCAACGTTTCGTTCTTCGCGATCTCTCGCCGATACGTCGGCTATTCAAATATTGTACATCTTCCTGTGTGGTTCTTCCTCGTGTTTAATTTTCTGATTGATGTCCTATCCGACGAGAGCGCATCTGGCCATCTCCTCGTACCGGCTGATCCTCCACCTCTTTACATACCGTTGATATCGATCTTAAGGTTGGCCGTTTTCTTGTCTCTTGGATCCCTGAAAAATCGATACAAGCGATTAGGACGATTCATGATACAGCACTTTCAAAACGCGTAAGACATATAGCGAGATCACGCACGTATTCATCATTAATACGAAAATTCTTCTAGACTAAATTAATCATTCCGAGAATGCGGTAATTTTCTCACTATTATACAGTAAGAGACATCCTTAATACTCACATACAAATAAAACGCGAAAAAATATAATAAAAATACAATAGAAATTTAATGATTCTAAAAATTAAAAATTCCTAGAGAAGTTAAGCTTTGAACATTCATGAATTGAAGTATACAAATGTCTAAAGGCGCGTAGGCTCAAGGTCCAAAAGTCTGACAGCCACTCATAACGGATTTTTTAATCCTCTGATGCTCAATAAGTCACACATGGTGACAGTTTGAAGAAAGACTCGGTTGAGTACCAGACCGAGGATGAAAGAACAACCTACATTTGTCTTGTTACCGAATAAAGAGCGTCCGCGTGAAGCTAAAGAAGCGACGTCTTGCCATTGAGTAATTTGCGTACCTCATTAGGACGTGACTATGCTGAAAAGCGCTCTTTCACGGTCTGTTCAAAGCTCTCAGTCGACGAAGGGGTGCACACACGTCCGACAGAAGAAAAGTACAATATAGGGGAAGCGAGATGTGGGGATGCAGATGGATAGATTGAATTTTGTTCTGTCTTGGAAAAGAAGTCCCGCGGGAACAAACAGAGATTTTATGAATAAAATATATTTGCATACCATAGCGGATTCAAAACGACATGAATAAGAAAACAAGATAACATAAACCTTGTGACAATATTTTCTCATAATGTTCTAATATTGTCAAAATGTCTTTACGTATATATAAAAGAGAAATCATAATATATCGTATATATGTATATTCAATAGAAAGTTAAAAAAATATAATATATTTAAATATACTCAAAAGAAAGAATATTTTAATATATGACTTTATATTTATAGGAAGACACTGGATGTGTTCTTGGGAAAAAGAGCAAGTATTTTAATTCATCGAATGTTCTATACCAGGTGGACGATGCGATGCCAGACATCTTCATAAAACGTGAATTAACGATGACGTGTTCAGCCGTGCCCAGCCCCAAGCGGACCGTATCGATCGTTTAATTTGAAAATGGGAAGATCGATCCGTGGTTGCAACTTCATTTATAGCGTGACCAATCGCAACTTTTCGGCATCACGTATGAATAAACAAGTTGCGACACGATCGTAACCGCAAGCGAACAGTATCGATCCATCGAGTTCAAAGGGTAAGGTCGGGCGATCTGGAGCGCTCTTTTTTTGCCGCCGATCAATTTTAGGTGACACACTTTTGCCTCGATACGAATCCATTTTCGGACGATTTCAAGTGGATTATTAAATCCTCCGACTCTCTAGAATTCCTCAGTTCATATTTCAAAAATGTATTCCTTCATATCTGTGAATTAATTATATCAAAATTATCGTGTAATTATTATTAATTTTTTTCTCTAAGACTATAAGAAGAGATCATAATTAAAAAAAGATAGCAAATCGCTAAATCGGTAACTTATTTTATTCAAATTATTAATACGACTGAATCAAAAAACTGATACAAAACATTGCATACTAGATTCTTGAAATCTCTTTCGTTTTGAATGATTATCTTTTTTTTAACTGGAAGATGATGCAAAATTGTTTTCTTAGCTTGTGTATTATACATCAAATATCATACACGAATATCATGGTTGTCTCATGTGCTTCACCGAAATATTATGTCTTTACGTATATATAAAAGAGAAATCATAATATATCGTATATATGTATATTCAATAGAAAGTTAAAAAAATATAATATATTTAAATATACTCAAAAGAAAGAATATTTTAATATATGACTTTATATTTATAGGAAGACACTGGATGTGTTCTTGGGAAAAAGAGCAAGTATTTTAATTCATCGAATGTTCTATACCAGGTGGACGATGCGATGCCAGACATCTTCATAAAACGTGAATTAACGATGACGTGTTCAGCCGTGCCCAGCCCCAAGCGGACCGTATCGATCGTTTAATTTGAAAATGGGAAGATCGATCCGTGGTTGCAACTTCATTTATAGCGTGACCAATCGCAACTTTTCGGCATCACGTATGAATAAACAAGTTGCGACACGATCGTAACCGCAAGCGAACAGTATCGATCCATCGAGTTCAAAGGGTAAGGTCGGGCGATCTGGAGCGCTCTTTTTTTGCCGCCGATCAATTTTAGGTGACACACTTTTGCCTCGATACGAATCCATTTTCGGACGATTTCAAGTGGATTATTAAATCCTCCGACTCTCTAGAATTCCTCAGTTCATATTTCAAAAATGTATTCCTTCATATCTGTGAATTAATTATATCAAAATTATCGTGTAATTATTATTAATTTTTTTCTCTAAGACTATAAGAAGAGATCATAATTAAAAAAAGATAGCAAATCGCTAAATCGGTAACTTATTTTATTCAAATTATTAATACGACTGAATCAAAAAACTGATACAAAACATTGCATACTAGATTCTTGAAATCTCTTTCGTTTTGAATGATTATCTTTTTTTTAACTGGAAGATGATGCAAAATTGTTTTCTTAGCTTGTGTATTATACATCAAATATCATACACGAATATCATGGTTGTCTCATGTGCTTCACCGAAATATTATTACTACTATATTTCGGTCAAACGAACAACTCTGCCAACTTCATTTAACGTAGTTTAATTATTTAGCTAATTAATTAATTCAATCCTTTTAACGATTGGATAACCTGCAAGTTAAACTTAGTTCAGCCCTTAAATTACGCAAGTAAGATCGATCCTTAAATGTCCGACGAATTTTCCTTTATCAGCGAAAATACGATCTTGATTAAAAGCGGAATCTCAGAATCATCGTTTGTGTTTGACTTTTTTCTTTTTTATCTTAACTTCTTATTATAATTCTTAAAATTAATTTTGTTTGAACTGCGATCGGAGTTAAGCCAAAAAATAAAATTAACGCGTATCAATTCTTTTTTAATTTTTATATATTTTAAAATAATTTTCTACATTTACAAAATAAGAGAAAAGTATGTTTTTCTTACAATGTAAAAATAGAAACAGTTATACTTCAACTAAATTTTGAAAATATATAAAACTTTAAAAAATATTAAATACAAAAAGAATTAAAAATCTCATCACAAATCTTAATCATTAATAAAAATTTACTTTCAATACAATTAATTCTAATATTTTACATATCCAATTTTTTCCCCAAGCGTTATTACAGCCAATTAATATACATTGCTACAAGTGCATAGTGCTCGACGCGTCTATATGATACAGTCGTAAAATAATAGATTTAATACAGCAAAAATCAACATATAGGATAGAAAGGAGGATTTCATATAAAGGAAATTATGTAAGAACAAGCAGCTCAACGAACAGGCACATCAATAAAGAAGGAATATAATAAGAAAAAGAAAGAATTTAAGATTGAAATAATGCAATTTAGACGAGTTCAATCTTCAATATTAGATATGGAAAACCTACTTTAACCCTTACTATCAAATATCGCGTTTCCATTGTGAGATATATATATCGAGAGGTCATTTCTTTATCTGTCTGTAACATCGTAAGATCTGAACTCTTCGAAATTACAGCGATTTCAGCCTTTGTTTGGAATAGTGCAACAGTTATACTTCAACTAAATTTTGAAAATATATAAAACTTTAAAAAATATTAAATACAAAAAGAATTAAAAATCTCATCACAAATCTTAATCATTAATAAAAATTTACTTTCAATACAATTAATTCTAATATTTTACATATCCAATTTTTTCCCCAAGCGTTATTACAGCCAATTAATATACATTGCTACAAGTGCATAGTGCTCGACGCGTCTATATGATACAGTCGTAAAATAATAGATTTAATACAGCAAAAATCAACATATAGGATAGAAAGGAGGATTTCATATAAAGGAAATTATGTAAGAACAAGCAGCTCAACGAACAGGCACATCAATAAAGAAGGAATATAATAAGAAAAAGAAAGAATTTAAGATTGAAATAATGCAATTTAGACGAGTTCAATCTTCAATATTAGATATGGAAAACCTACTTTAACCCTTACTATCAAATATCGCGTTTCCATTGTGAGATATATATATCGAGAGGTCATTTCTTTATCTGTCTGTAACATCGTAAGATCTGAACTCTTCGAAATTACAGCGATTTCAGCCTTTGTTTGGAATAGTGCAAAAAATGAAAAAAGAATCAAATTTTGTAAAAAAAAGTAAAAATAACTCGAAGAATTAATGAAAATCAAATATCCCGATCATAGAAACGCATGTGAATCGAGCGATAAAAAAAAGATATAAAAAAAGGAAAAAGAGCGGAGTCATAACTTTTATTTTCGCGCAATCAGTAGACGATTAACAGACGTATAATTGACGATTGGCCATTGACACTGATACGCAAATGTCCATTCGCCGTTCAAATGCAAATCCTCCAGCAGGACAGCCGTAGTTGGTCTTTCGATCGAATTTAATTGGCTTTCAAAGTGCCTGTCTCTATTGCCTCGAGACGCGAATGCTTTCAATAGGCGAAACCGCGCAAATTAGATTGAATAATGATCCAGGATCGATTCCACTGAGCCTAACGCATTTCGGCAATAAAAGCAAGGGTCGAGATTGATATATCATTTCAATGACATCGATCATCGATCTTTGATGCTATAGATACAGAAAAATATATTTTTGCTCAGAATTTTTTATACAGTTCCATAAATATGATTATCATTTTCCTGTATCTATAGCATCGAATTCTAATGTCACCGAAGTTATACCAGTTTTTCCATCAAAAACGCATAGCTGTGTTCAGAGTTTCAATAAAAAGCAAATTGTAAACGCTATTGTAAAGCAAATTTAATATCAAACCAAGTTTACGTATACAGATTATTATAAAATGTGATAATATCTTTTATATTATTACAAATTATAATTTTATATATTATTTGAGCAAGATCATAAATTTGGCAGTATGTATCTTTTTTCCAAAAAGAAAAAATTCCGTTTCCTTATATCAAGAAAACGTTGTAAAGTATCTTTTTTGAAAAGCATTTTAAATGTTCAGTACGATAGTAATGACTATTATTAATATGCCGAAAGAAAGTGAGCGAATATGAAATGTCGACGATAGCACAGCTCTACGTATTCATCGTTGATCGCATCTTTGCAGAGGCGGCTCTATTATAGGACGAACTAAGCGACCACCCAGAACCTCGCATATGTGCAAGGGTCTTGTGCTAGACCACAGTAAACACTCGTGCTAAGGGCTTAGGCGCGCAAGCGAGGACTCTGGATGTTCGAAGGCCTTGAGTACGCAAGCTCCACGCTTGACCGCAACAAGCGCTCTCTTCATCAAGGCTCTCGACATGTGCAATATACGCAAGAAACGCTTTCGCATTTCTAAAGTACCTCGCGCATGCCAAGATCTTTCTCGGAACCATCGTCTTCGCCCTACATAGACACAGGAAAGATAAACACCGTGAATTTCACTGAGGACCTAGTACGCGAAACCTCGCCTATCTCCAATAGAGCCGCCCCTCTCTGACGTCCTTCGCAGCGGTCTATTGTAGCATAAAGTGGAACCTACTTCGATCCAGAGATTTGTAAAGCCCACCTCGGCCATTTTTGACTTTGCATATTCGATTCGTATCGCTCCCCGGTCGGAGGAGAGGAGAAAGGACCCTTGGAGAGTGGCCATCGCCTGGGCCGCGTAGCGAACGTCTTGGTATTCGACAAAGGCTACTGGCGACCCTCCCTTCGTGTGCATACGAAGCCGGGAGAAACCAGGAAAACTGTGCACAAATAAGAGAAGCGTACAATACGTGCTCTAGTTAGTCGTAAAGACAGTACTCTGGTAAGAGGGGGGGGGGGGTTAAGGGTTTAACAGGGGTCTTGGTTATTGCTTGCCAATGATGGTTGTCAATGATGTCGGTGGTGTTAGGCGGTGCCGATATAGGGTGATTACACGGAGGGGATGCGACACAAATTCAGGATCATATTCAAATCGTTAGCACCTATGAATCATTTTCTTCGACATATATGTGCGAATAATTATTTAATATATTAAAATAGAAATTTAATATATTACATATATTTTTATATAATTGTATTATATGATATAAAAGTTAAGTCAAAATTAAATAATAAAATAATTTCTCTACGTAATTTGCACAAAATAAAGTTTTATTTTTTGAAATATCTATTATTAATATTATTTAGGAAATATAAATCATAAAGCATCACATCAAAAAGAGACAAATCTGCACATAATATTCTAGTATTATCACATCTGTTAATATAATATACTATTTATTTTATATCACATAATAATATGAGATTATCAAGAATGTTCCCCTTTTCTATTTTGAAGCATTACAAGGGTTGCTCCTACTGTCGTGATCCTTCCGGATTAAATTAACAGTTGCAAATCCGCGATTAGACCAATTGTTCGCGACATCGAGATATTACCCTCCGTGCAATTGTGTTCGGCACACCGTCAATTAGTAAACGACACTAGTCGCATGGTATTGGTACGGGTACTAGTACAGGTGCGTCCTATATGCCTACGATCTACGACGGTGGCAAATGATTAGCGGATGTCGGTGATGTTTGGAGGCGGTGCTGTTAGTTACAAAGCTTTCGGCGTTCACGACGGACTTGCACAATCTCAACATCATCGCGCTCCAGGCAGAGCGATGAAATTTAGGTGCAGATGCCTCGTCGTTTACCTTCAGCGTCGATTACTATGGTTATATTGACCGAATGCGTTTACTTAACTGATCGCAGATCCACAGCGAGAATAAACATAAATAATTCGCAAATTCAGAGACTGATGCATACACAAATTTACGAACATGTACATATAGACTTGTAGCTCCATCAATTCATAGATGTATGTAACTCTCCTGAATACCCTCTCCGCCCCCCTCCCATTTTTACGATAGTATATTTTTTAATAAATATTTCAAATTGGTTTCTTAGAAAAAATTAGAAAAAAACATATGTGTGTAATCTATCAAACTTTAAGATTAAATATATAGATTTAAGATTAAAGATTAATTATTGTAATTATAAACTTTGTAACTAACATAAATATATAGGTTTAAGATTAATTATTGTAATAATTATATATATACAATGAATTAAGATCAGTAACGCGCTAAAAATATTTTGAAGATGTTACAAAAAAAATTAAAACTAAAAGAAAATAAGAAAAATTAAAAAATCATAAATTAAGGAATCCAGAAATATTAAAACATAAATAGATAGTAAAATATAAAATCGCGTTGTACATGATCTATTATTACTTAATTATTTTTAATTAATTATTAATTATTTAATGTACTTAACTTCAACAATATTCAAAAATATATTGTCACGAAATGTTAACTCCGCAAACATATTTTTATACAAGCCTACCAACAAGCAATAATTACCCGTGCAAGAACAATAGTCGAATTACATACGTCGAATACAATATACTCACGTTGCCGACAACGAAATTCCGTCGAATAATCCCACGAGCTACCGAAAATTGCAGAATGCGCAGCGCGCCTCCCGTACGTGCAAACGCGTGTAATTAACTCAGGCACCCACTTACGAATTCATACTGCAGAACTCCGGGGTTTGCGGAATAATGAGATTTCGTGGGCTAATTATACGGGAGGGGAAGGGCTTCTCTATTGGCGACAGAACTTGCAAGACAGTCGCGTACAGACTTCCGTCAGCGGCGAAACTCGAAAGAGTAGAGTGTGTCTTCTGATTACTATTCATATATTGTGTCAAGGAAATTGTTATTAATGAGCAACGATTAAATTATTATTAACGAATAACTTAATCTTATATCTTCGCGCCGTAAAATTAAAATACGTATAAATGCATATAAATACCAACTAAATTTAATAGCTAATGGGTTAATTATTATCATTCATAAAACAAAAAGATTTATTTTAACAACTATTAAATTATCTTAAATTGAATAAAATTTTGATTGAATTGTTTCGTCAAATATAAGAAATGTTAAACTTTCATTCATCAAAAAAGATATTCGACGATTATCTGTGCAAAATTTAATATAATTTGCAACTTATAACTCAGGTAAGATAATATTATTACAATATAATTATATACTTGCAAATCATATGTAGAGTATAATAACATTATTACTATATAATTATATTTTTTCAAATTGCATAATTCTTTTTATGTTTTATCAGCATCGTTAATTATTGGGTCTTCAAATTTTGGGATATTTAATTTTCACGAAATCATAAATTATATAAAAAGCGCGTAATATCGTAATTCTCTACAATCTTTAATTAAAAATTCTTCTTAAAATCCAACTGATGACACCATAGTAATCGACACCAGAAATGCCAAAGCAACTATTCTCAATATTCAATCATATAAAGTATTTTAACAATATCATATATAATTTTGCGATATTGCCTGCCCAATATTACGCAATTTACACAATTTTCTCTTCTTATTAGCAATTATTACTGTGCATTATTACTATTAGCAATACTGTGATTACAAATACGTGATTAAAGTTTACAGTATTAATCAAAGGTCAACGAACGAGCTTCAATTTTTCCTATCCCCACGTAGAAACGTATTCACATACAGCGAAACAGCGGATATTAGCTGCGGCGTAATCGATTTAACACAAATGTTTAACATAGACATAAGAGTAATTCTCGACGCAATGATTCACAATACCATACCGGAGGCATACTCAGGATCGTGGGAAGGTTCCGCATGACGGGGCACGTGAAAATAATTTATTACGCGAGCGCAACTGTAGTGCCCGGCAGGATAACATATTTTAACTCCACCGTTTGTTGGATAAGTTGCACTTAGGCAAGTAGTCTAATTGCGAGTGTATCTCCGTCCGTAATTAACGGTTTACCGTGTTTAGCTACGATTTTGCGTTTCACGATCCTTGTGACCCGAAGGTCCTCGCTCGTGATACACGCAAATCAAGATCGCGCAAAGTACAATAATTAAATAATACACTAAAATTTTGCAGATTTTTCAAATGATAAAAATTTCATATATTATGAATTATCGACATACGCTCGTGTTTTCCACTTTTTTTAGCAGCATTTTTTACCTAACGTATAAATCCTTGAACGCATATATCCTTGCTAAAGTTACATAACGATGCGACAGCGCAAGTCATTAATAACAAGCCTTTACGTTAGATACAAAATATCGATTTCTGGTTTCTGGTTTATGGAATTTATTTGCGAAGATTTGATTTTAATTTTAAAATGTTAATTAGAATTTTTTGTTTGTTTGTTAAACGAGTATTAAAAAATCCGATTACTAGATATATTAAAAATTCCATGATTCTAGCACTTGCGTAAATAAAAATCCAAGGATCAAAAAATCTTTAGATCTTCCAATATAATTAAAGAAAAGAAGAATCTAAATATTCCAGAATATCCAAAGATTCGATCCAGAGATACCAGAAATGAAGAATCCAATAATTTGTAGATTTTCGTTATAATATGTATGTACATATTATCAGGAAATTTAGAATATATGTATATATAAGCCGCCGTATTCTTGCTGCTTATTCATGAAAATTGCAAAAAGATATTTTGGATCAATGACATTGCGGTATCACCACCACGTGGTACACTGACAAGACCCACGTGTATCGGTACCCGTATTGCATTCAGCACGCATATACTGCCAAAATGCATAAACATGACTTGACTTTTCAAAGCAGTTTATTATGATTGTTGTTATAAATATTCGCATCTGATCTTTTTCGTTGCAATTTACAAAATTAATTTTTTACATATAAATTCATTATTGTTCATTATAATTTGGTTTTTAAATATTTTATATCCTGAGATTGCATTCTCTGTATAAATCGAGATTCCGCTAGAAATTTTGATAGCATAGGAATAATTTTGACATAGGAGCATCTATAGACCCATCGCTTTCTACATCAATTTAATTCAAATTTTTCATTAAATACAAGAAAACTTTTTTTATTCCAAAATTAAAAATACTCCAATTTGGCTTGCGTATTATGTTTAGAAATCTATTTCACAATGCATTTACACTTTTGTCAAACGACAATGTAATGCATCTTGATACGTTCTAAAGTGTCTTTAGATTCTCGGCGATCATATATATGTGGGCCGTACGATGTATAAATATACTAAATCGATAAGCGAACATACAACCGTATCCGGTTTTTGCTCGCGTATAACTACAACTAAGGGAATAATAAGATACGGACGAAGAGAGGATTTGTCTAACCTGCTGAATATGTCCTTTAGTTCATGCTCGGACACAAACTGGCCCAGGTTCGCCACGAAGAGGGTGGAGCACTGCGCATTGCTGACAGCTAGGTTCGGTTGCGACGAGGGTGACCCGACCGGTGACGCCAGTGCTGGCGACGGTAGAAAATGAGGCAGCGACGCGTGTATCGACGTCAGCGTTGTAGGATGCGGCAGGGACATAGGCGCCTGGAAAATATATAAATACTTCCGTCATACACTCTCTTTCTCTCTCGCTCTGCTTGATCGCGTGAATAGTTGGTCTGCTCGCGTTTGCGTCAATCCGCCCCGGTCTT